TTAATCTCTTTGGATTAAGAAAAGGCTGAGGCAGCTTTCACCTATGAAAGCAGTTTATCCTCTTCCAGTCTAGTTGACATTTGTACATGTGCACCATCTATACAGACCTATATAATAGTTGATCCGAGGTGCTCTGAGAGCAATGCCAAAGAAGGATTTTTTTCCCTTCTCAACTGAAGGGAAATACTGCGACGAAGTTACCGTTTTATAAAGTGTCATCCTCAAACTGTAAATGAATTCTTAACTGTTATGAGCAAATTAACCCATCAGTTCTTGCCTGCTTGAATACTTTTAAATTCCAGGCCTTTAGTTTCTTTTTCTCCCATTAATATTGGTAGTCGTTTAACGTTTTCACCTCTAGTGAACAGGGTTTGAAGGGTAAACTTTACTCATTTCAGAAGCTGATTTAATAAGGAGGTACTTGTCCAAACTCTCATAATGCATTGTTGAGGCCCTCCTTTAACTGAGGGTTCTCAAACTGCACAGTGGTCTCTGGGAGACCCCTAACAGTCTGAGACCAAAGCAGACTGCCAGCACCAGGTCCTAAACTGGGTACCACACACCACTCGTCCTTCTCATGACCACATCCTGATGCCCCAGAGCCTATTTCCTTCTCCCTGTCCACAGTGCTTCCTTCTTGGACAGAAACAAAGGAAAGAGCTTCTTTTCTTCCTATCTAACGATTCTACTTTTCTCTTAGTAGAAAACGTTTTGTGAGGATGACATGGTTTGGGAACAACTCTAGACTATGAACTCCAAAGCTTCTGTCAGTCAAGTGTTTGTTATATACTCATTGCAATGTTTTCTATCAGGGTTTATAACTTTAAAAATCTACATGAATTTTCTATATTTGCTAATGTATCCAGCTTTTCCAGAAATTTAAATAGAAATTTTAGTGTTAAAGATTGGGTAGAATTTAAATATTGTGTCAAGAAAATATCTGTGCTTCCGGATAAGATAGACAAGGTTTGTCTCCATCTTCCCAAATAAATGAGGGATAATGGAATGAAGTAACATAAAAAGGGGATATAATTGTGCTTTTTTCCAATAATGAATGAACTATGTAGAACACATTGGCAAGATGGTCTCACTAAAAATCTTCTAATTCACCTTATTTTCTTTTTTAAGATGGTTAATTTCTAATCATGCTAACGTAAGTATAAATAGGCATGGGCCTACACAAAATGAAAGTGGGATTCCTTTGGTTCCATTTATTGAGTAGAAGTTGAGAAAATTAGGATGGTATTGATCTTTCTTATCAAATAAATAAAAGGGAGTCTGTATTATATCAGTTTATTGGTATCAAATAATTTTTTTCTTAATTCTAAAAAACTGCCTATATAACTTCAGAAACATTTAAACTAATATAGCAATCATCCTATTTCTTAAATCAGGAACAGTAACATTGTTCCTCTGAGAAGCCCTTTTCTAGGTCTTTCTGCTCTGTCCTTCAGATTGATACAGGGTGTAAATAAAGTTCATGACCAAATGTGCAATTTGCTTATGAGAAACAGAATTAAAAGTTACTGTACATTCACCTCTCCCTAGGGAGGGCCCATTACCATGGGCGAATATAGTATTAATAGATGCATTTAGAGTTAGTCTTTGGCTTAGAATGTGTTAACCAAATTCAGGGATGAAGTAAAACTTGCATAAACATTAAGGGGGGATTAAGAATGAGACAATGAATCGTGATGACCTATCTGGCCTTTCCTCTTCAAAATGCAGAAACTGCACCAAACACCTCTTTTTTGTCAAGTGGCCCCTTTTAATTTGCAGATTCTTCCATGTAAGGCGGCTAAAAGTTAAGTCTGAGTACCTTACGTTAGGAGATAGTTCATTCAATCCAAAAAGCATCTCTTGAGATGATTAAAAAATATAAAGTAAAAAAGGACTAAGGCGTTCTTAATGAAGAAATATGATTAGCAGAACATCCAGGGATAGTGATGGAGAGATTTTAAGCTACACACCCATCGACAAGCCATATTAGTGTTTTGTGTGTACATGTGTAAATGTACCTTCCATTTTACAACTTATTTTTAAATAAGAGAAAGAAGAAAAATGTAAAGTTACTTGTATCTAAGGGCTTATTTCTTCTTTTAAACACAGATTTTTATGCTGGTTTAAGGTCTACTCTTATGAAGTGATCCACACACAAAAAGGCAGAACCGCTTATCCCATAATGACCAGAGAATACAGACAAGGCAGGGAATAAAAGACCATCGTACTGACATTTAAAGCTTAGTATGTTCTTTAATATTAAAGACTGTTGGTGAATCTTATTTGGGAGAGGGAACATATTTTGAACCACGCAGAAACAAAAAAATACAGCCTTTCCTTGCCCTTCCTCTTAATCCAATGGGCTTGAGTCCCTTGGAACTCGACATGTCCTTTGGTAGCAATTTTGGGAAATTAATGCTATAACCTCTAATCCAGTATGGTGGGTATCAGCATTTCCCTCCCTGAATCCTTTCTCTTAACTTTCACCACTCCCAAGGGAGGGGCCCATTACTCTGGGCAACTACAGTATTACTGACAGCCCTAAAATCATTTGCACAGACTAAAGTTAGAGATGTCAAGTCAGGAGAGAAAATTAGATTTAACTACATTAGAGAAATAGCAGGATAGAGAGGAGAGAAATTAGTAACTGACACTACCATTCTATTTACACACCAAACTAAATAAACTAATTAAAAATCAAGTTAATGTCTGCCCAGAGGATATTACAATTTACCAACATAAAAGATTAAAAACAAGCAGCAACTTTTATATAAAATTAATAAAGACAAATGAAAAAGAAATTGTCAGTAGCATCTATCTCCTCAATGTGTCTGAACTGCACTTTATTAAACTAGTCCATTAGTACAGCAGCTTGCTAAAAATTGACTTTGGTTCAAGCTTAGTTAAAAAAAAAAAAAAAAGACAAACATAAAAAACACACCACACATAAAAAGGTGGATGGATATTTGTTAGTTTCCCTGCTTGCAGTGACTAAATTTAGAGGGGTTTTAGGGAAAGTGAAGGAGGGGTGAGAAGAGTAAATTTAGGGGTGGTAATTAAATACTTTGTGAAATAAAATGAGAAAACAGAAAGAACTGAAGAAAAATAAAAAAAGGGGACAAAAACGTTCCTGGTCTTTTAATATTAATGCGACTGTCTCCCACTTGACTCACAGAGGTCCACACCATATCTGTATCACTGCCTTTCCGAATGCTGGTAGAGAGAGTCAGTACGCATAACTCAAGCTCCCTTGTAGATACAAGCAAGGCAATTAGAATGAAAATTCTGCTAGCTCTCTCTGAACTCCCAGCTTGAAAGCGGGAAAGTGCAGTTGTAGGACCACTGGAGATGTAAACAAGCACCCACAGACACCAAACGGAACGTCTAACTCCAATAAGAAGGGGGCTTAGATGAATTGCATTGCAGTGATCCACTCTTTTGGGAATTTTTTTGGTACAGGTACTATAATAATAGTCCATCAACAAAAAGGGGGATCTAATCTCCAAATTACCCTCATTCCTCTTCATCCACTTTCATAAACGTTTCCTTTTCAGTGGGCTCATCTAGAACCACCCTGAAAACAACGACAAGCTCACCAGTTTCTACACTGAACAGAGATGCACACTGCCCGTTAGAACTACCTAGCAGGTACATCGAACAAACCAAGGAGACACTGAGGTGTGTGCAAAGTCTCCCCTCAGGGTCCTTCTTCAAAGGTTCTGCAGACAACACGCCTGGCTAATAAGCGCCTCCTTTAGTTAGAGAACCAAGGAGAGTCTCGGGGCTAGAGAAAGGTATAAGCCAGCCAGTGAAAAGGAAGTCTGTGGCCAGAGGAAAAAGCAGTAACCTCAGAGACTCTTCTCATCACACGTTTCGTATACAAATCAATAGCAAATAGTCTAGTAGAGTTCCTTTAAGAGAAAAGTTTCCCAATTTCAGTAAGTCAATTTGTTCTTTGCCAAGAAAGTTTGGATGAAAAACTTCCACAAAATGGAAACAAACAAACCAACCAACCAACAGTAGGAGCATTTTTCAGGAGATAAGAAATCAGGAGAACCACCAAGTCAGGTGTCCGCAGTAGTCTTTGCTCTTCGGAACCAAATCTTGCCCTGCAAAACGTGCAGCCGTTCCCATTGAAAGTAGCAGAAAGCAGCACTGTTGCACCGCAGGATCTGGGCCCCAAGGTCATTCAATGATTTCGGGGTGAATGAGAGCTACAGTTCAGCAGGAATTCCTTCCTACACAAAAGTGCTCCAAAGGCACCACCTGATGGGGGGAAGGGAGTGTGTGTGGACTGGGAGTGTTTGCACACACTGCCTTCAGCTTCTGCACCAAGCCTCTTGCATAAGTGGCAAAAGAAAATAATTTTCTAGCACCTCTGTAAGAGTCATCAAGGATAAGGAAACCAGCAAGAACATTCCCCGCAGCTAAGAACATAAATCTCCCCTTACCCCAAAACCCTCCCTCCCCACAGTGTGGGAGCTCACTGAAATAGGATCCAGGAGCAAGAGATAAATGTGTCCAAACTATATATATATATATATATATGTATATATATATAAAAACAATAACAACAACAACAATAGAGATACAGTAATACAGGCCTGCCTAAATTGTACCAGTTAAAAAGGAACCCCCAACACAACTGATATGATTATAAACACCTTGTTATGACTTAATGGCCTGTACAACAGACCCGTAAAAATGATTTTTTTTTTTTTTTAAAGGAAAAAAGAAATTTAGACAAACAAGAAATCCCCTTCCTATATTGGAAGTGGTAACCCACCTTAACTTGTCATCATGACTGCTGGAAATGATAAGTAGTCCTTTCATTTACTTTTTGTTTGTTTTTGATTTTTTTGTTTCTGTTTTTTTTTGTTTTTGTTTTTTTTTTTGTTTTTTTTACATTTTTGGTTAGAAAGTTCTCCAATCCATGAAGCAATCCTGAAAAGACAGTGTTTTATTACAAAATTAGGCAAATGTTGTCCCATCTTCATCCTTTATCCCCCCCTCCCCCAGTATGTGTGGTTTTTTCTTCTCTCCTGTGCCCTCAGCAACATGGCGAGCGGAAGCCAATCACATTTTCAGTTTATTAACCTGGCTGGCAGCCCAGCTCACTGTGCCTTGGAGGCGGTAGTGGTGGTAGAAGCAGCCCCGCTGGCAGAGGCCACTGTGAAGAGAGAGTTCTGGATGGACTCAGCTGAGGTGGAGGTGGCGTGAAGGCTGGCAACAGGTCCAGAGTTCCCTGCGGAGGCTGCAGCGGCAGAGACCAAGCTAACTGGGTTGCTGGTGAGCAGAGAGAGGTTCTGAGGGTTCAGGAACAGAGGGGCAGTCACGATGTTGGGGGCTCCTCCTGCATTGGCAAATACCAGGTTCCCAGTTGCATCCAGTGACGTTATTGGAAGAGAGCCACCAGAAGCAAGAGCTGAAGACAAAGCCCCCAAAACAGGCAGGAAAGAGAACATTAGCATCATCATGGAGAACCCAAGTAACACATCAAAGGTCTACTGAGTTTTCCTACAACTCGGCAGGAAAATGTGAAGCCCTTATTCTTTTTCTCAATCACAGTGCTATACTGACATCAAGTGAAGTTTATTCATAATATCTGAAAGATTCTAAAGGATTGAGAACTCTAATTCAAGGAGCATGAGCAGGATGGGGGAGAGTAAGAACTGCCTAATAAACAGTCAAGCTTTTATTTTGAAAAATCCACTTTATTTCATTTACCTAGAACTCTTATTTTAAATCCAATAATTTTGATTTTAATGAAGATTACTGATTTTAAACTACCTCCATTCAAAAGCTAAGTGTTAAGGCAGCTAACCTAAGATGTCAGCAGTTTGAATCCACCAGCCGCTCCTTGGAAACCGTATGGGGCAGTTCTACTCTGTCCTATAGGGTCACTATGAGTTGGAATGAACTCGATGGCAACGGGTTTGGTTTTTTTGTTTTTTTATCAAACCAGTGGAGGTCATTAATAAGCTGAGCAAACTTTAGAGTATAATACACAAAATGAAAACCATCTTACAAAAGGCTTCAGTTCTAAAATCAATTAGAATACACCCATGCCTCACGTATCGAGATGGTTAGGTTCCAAAGATCAGGTCATCAGGCAAAAAGTGGCCTTAATGTGAGAGTTGGAGCCGCACCCGTCTTTGGCGCCCGTCACTGTTGCTCACCAGCGCCGGAGTGTCTTCAGATGCGGGTGGCGCAGCAGGCCCCCCTTCCCCACCACTGCGGAGCCCACAGGGGCCGGGGTGGTGGTGGTGGGGGCTGCCCGACACCTCCGGAGCAGTTAGGGGCCCACCATCACCTGGCCACACTCCAGGCCTCCATGAGGACCCCTGAACCTCGCCTCTCCACCTTCCCGCTCCACCAGCCCTGGAGATGGGCCTCAGCAGCGGGCGGCTCCCAGGCCTGCGGGCAGATGAGACCCGGCCACCTGGACCCGGCGGAGGCTGCAGAGGTGGCAGACAGCCCTCTTTGGAAGAAGAGACTTCCGAGACCCTCACCCGACTCCTGCGGCCCGGCTCCCACCCCGGTCTCCTGTGTGCCTATTCTGCCGCGGACCCAGCTGGGCTCCTCAGCCAGACTTGGGTAATAGGAACCTCCAGCAGCCCACGTGGCCTCGCTCCCTCTCACAAACCTCGCCCTACCTCCACCCGCCACCTCGGCTCCTCCTCAATGCACAAAATAGTCAGATAGTAGATTTTTTTCTGTTGTCATAAATGGGAAATGTTGGACAACCTGAGAGTCGTTAAGTGACGAGCAGGTGTATGTAATTACTGTATATTCACATAATTATTATGTGAATAACTGAATATAATTGATTCAATTATATGACTGATTTAATTATTCAACCGAATTATTATTTTTCACTTATTTGGTATATTTGGCAACAGACCAAATAAAGTATAAGGTGTGATTAATTTTTCACTTCCTGAGGCTTCAAAAAAGATTTGATTCCTATGACTTGTGTAAATGAGAATGATGAGTCTACTGTAGGAGGAAATCACAGATGCAGTGATGTAGGTGGCCCCAGGTGGGTTATCTAAGGCTAGAAGTTGCCTTAATAGGTGAGAATTTTTCTATGATGCTATTGTTTCCCTACAGAAGTCATCACCATCAAAATTTCATTTAAAATAATTGGGCACTCTCATGTAATATCTTATCCTGTTATCAAAGCCCCCAAAACCTCTCCAGCCATATAACCATACCTCCACATGTAGATTTAGGATCTCTTCTAGTGGCATTAAATTTTGGGTTTGGTTTCTTACATAATATATAAAAAAAAGCTAGAAGAACTGAAAGGAACGCCCTGACGTCAGATAGGATCATACAATCATACAGAACAGTGAGACCTGCAGCAGTCTGAAGTTTTGTGAGATTCCAGGCTTAGAGTAACAGACTGGTTCTAGAGCTTCCCAGAGAGTGTCTGCTCTCCAGGCAATCGTGCCCTGGGGAAGCATTTTGCCTTTGTAGCATTCCCACAGCTCAGAGATGCCCCTTAACACAGGAGAAAAAGTGATTTATAACAAATCTTATTCCAAAAAGAAATCCTTGTGTAACAAAAACTTTATAGATCTAACCATCAACTGCAGACACAAATTAGTTAAATCAGAAAGTCAATATAATGTAAAGTAACCTAGATCTTGGTCTTATCTGTAATTAACATTATCTATTAACAAATTAACATTGTTGTACAGAACAAACAAATCTGTCTTGCAAGAAGTACACCAGAATGCTGTGAGGATGGCAAGACTTTGTCTCACATACTTTGGACATGTTATCAGGAGGGTTCAGTATCTGGAGAAGGACATCATGCTTGGTACAGGGGAGGGTCAGTGAAAAAGAGGAAGACCCTCAACTAGATGGACTGACACAGTGGCTGCAACGGTGACCTCAAGCATAACAATTGTGAGGATGGCTTGGGACCACGCCGTGTTTCATTCTGTTGTATGCCGGGTCGCTATGAGTTGGAACCAACTAGACAGCACCTAACAACAACAACATAGTACGCTGTTAAGGAGCCCTGGTGCCCAACAGTTAAATGCTCGGCTGCTAACTGAAATGGCGGTTCAAACCCACCAGCGGCTCCATGGATAAAGACCTGCTGATGTGCTCCCATAAAGGTTTCAGCCTAGAAAACACAAAGGGGCAGTTCTACTCTGTCACATGGAGTTGCTATGAGTTGAAAACGATGCGAAGGTACCTAACAACATAGTACACTGTAGAGATACCATTCATGAAGCACTAATATTAACTGAAGTTGGCTAAAAGCTTATTTGTAGTCCTGGAACTTCTGTTTAAGCACAAAACTATTTTAAAGGAAAAAATACACTAACAGAGTAATGTCTCTCAAATTCTTTCTCTGAGTTACATAAGAGCATCTTCAGACATAAAGCTTACAGCTGAAAAGAGGGAAGACGCTCACTATAACTGAATGCTCACTGCACTGGTAACATGCCAGAGCCAAAAGGGATCCAACTGGGCTTGGAGAAGAGATAGTACAATCCAAAGAATATCTGCTGTGCAATGATGGGGATATAAAAAGGGTAGAATCCAACCGGAATGAAAAGTACTCTAAAGTCTGTATGATGTGTTCCAATGTTCATTCATTACAGGACCTTCCCACGCCCTGCTCTCCTGGGGACCAGGATTGGGGAATCTTACTTGGTCAGTTTTGCTTAGGGATGGGTCTTAGATGAATACTTGGATAAACTTATCAGGAGGTAAATCTGCCTCAAAGTCTACTCACGGAAGAAGATAAATATCAGCATTAAAGTCCTGGTTTCCTACACTATGCCAAACTAAGTATATTCCTATTCTTACTCACAAGCTACCATCTCTATTTTTCTCACAAAGCTTTTTTGTACGAGGATGTTTTCTTGGTCCTCAAGAACAAATTAATCAGCATTATCATTTCAACTATCTCTCCCCATCATCTTTACCTCTGGCCAGGCAGACTTCCTCCATTAAAAAAAAAAAAACTAAACAAGGAAGAAGATTTTACTGACCTTGAATAGTTGCCAGTGTACTGTTGCTCATCAGAGCTGGGCTGAGAGCACCGCCCAGGGTCCCTGGGTTGAGACTGAGTAAGGCACCTCTGTAAGTCCAAAAGAGGGGTCACTTTATTACCATGCAGACACATCTGTCAGCCTGACAACACACCCACAGGGATGAGAAAAGGGAAAATCCAGCTAGGGAAGCATATGGCAATAGCTGTTATCTTCCTTACACTCTTACATGGTTGGGTTAGTGCTTCTGAGTTACTGCTTCCCTTGACGCTTACATGTACAAAGCAAACCAAGGTTTTGATTCACGTCAAATTTCAAATTCTTACAGTCATTTTGATTCCTCTTTGAATTATTTCACTCTCTCTTTTTACCAAAACAAAAGGAAATACTCCAGGGAAAGAGATATATTTTCAAGGTAATTCTTAAAATATGTTTGACAATAATAATACATAATTGGGAGTCTCATTACATCTCATCTATGCTGGAGAAGTAAAAAGCAGACAGTTGAGAGTTTAATGGAGAAAGCAAAAGAGTAAGTCAGGAGTTCTGGGCTTTCTTCCTGGCCCCATCACTCAGGTTATTAGTGACTTGGTGTTTCTTATCTTCATCTGGAAATTAAGGGACAACTACCGTCCTTTCCAGGGTGTTAAGAAACAAGTTCAACTATAATCAAGGTGCTTGTGCTATTACAGAGCAGCCCAATTAAAAAAGATTATTGCTTTGAAGAGTTTTGTTTTGTTTTTTTAAGCTGATGATGGAAGGTCTCCTCTACAAGCATTTCTAGGGGTGACCTCCTAGTTGTTTCTCAGATGGGAGTGAGATGAGAAAGCTCCTTACCCAGCTGCAAACTGAGAGGGTGCCATCAGGCCTGGGTTTAGTCCTGCAGCAGCAGCCATGGCAGCAAGACTGGCATTTGCTGGCAACTGTGCAGCTCCTTGGAGGGTAGCTGTTTGCAACCCTGATGTCACCATCACCTGGCTGGTCCCGAGGGGGGAGGACAAAGGAGTGGAGGTGGTCTGTGTTGTGCTGGTCTCACTGGCACTGGATGCTTCGGAGGTGGAGGCGGAGGCAGAAGGGGAAGGACTCAGAGAGGGGGATGTGACTGCTGAAGAAGCTGGAGGTGCTGTGGATATCACGGTTGCTGTGTTGTTGGAGGGGGTGTCTGTAGTGCCTGAAAAAGGGAATCAGATTAGAAAACCACTTTCTGTAAGTGTTTTTGAAGAATGGTGACGTTATTCAGCCATACTCTAGAATCCATTGAGTAACTAATCTACCATCTAATGGTCTCTACATTTGCCCTTTTATTAACCCAGTTTAGTGTTTCTATGACAATCAACACAATAATAAACATTGTAGAAGCAAAGCAATGAACTCTAAGAGGCAAGAGCAAAAAAGTAACCATAAAAGAAATACAGAGTAAAGTTTTTCACTGTCAATTTCCTATTCAAAAAACAACAGAAAGAAAGCACCACAGCAGCTCTCGCTATGAAATACAACTGCTCTAGGGAAAAAAACTCATAAGCAAAAAACCCTTACTTCTCAAAGCACCTTTTCATTGAGAAATCTCCTTAGTAGTCTCAACAGAGAAATCGAAACAACAACAAAAAGTTACGTACTTTTCTACAAATAAGTGCCGCAGAAAATGGTGCAGGATGATTAGAGGTGTCTAACTAGATGCCTTCTTTTTGTTAAAAAAATTTAGGTAACTATAATAAATAGCAGCTCTCAAAAAGTCAATTCTGGTAAATATTCTCTTATTCATGGAGACAATAAAATACAATAATATCATCTCATGAAGGTTAGCATGAAAAATGGAGATTGTTTAGAGGCCGATGCCCAAATTTCTTTTTGTTTTAAGGAGAAGAACAAGCATTTGGATATAAATGACTAATGGACGTTAAAAATACCACAAGTAAAAACTAAAACACATTCACTGGGATTATTTAATGTTTGAGACTAGCACTGTCCAACAGAAATATAATACATATATAACTGAATATTCTAGTAGTTCCACTGAAAATAATAAAAACAGGTGAGATAAAAGCTTTAATAATATAATCTATTTAACCCAACATATCCAAAATATTATCATTTTAACATGAAATCAATATAAAAAAATTACTGAGTTATTTTACTGTTTCACACCAAGTCTTTAAAATGGTATTTTCCATGTACAGCACATCTCAATTTGAACTAGCCGCATTATTAAGTGCTCAACAGCCACGTGTGACTAGTGACTATCATGTTGGATAGCACAGGTCTAAAACATACGTATCAGTTAAGCCTGCTGGGTCTCAGAGGCAAAGAACGGCAAGTCACTTTGACTAAAGTAGAAGTGGCTCATAAGGCACTCATAGGATAGATAATCTTCCCCAAAGCAGAAGATGCCACTGTCCCCAGTGAGTTGTAGTTTTGATGATATCTACAAAGGACAGTATAGAACATGCCCTCATATTTCAATTTTCAGTAAATGTCATGTTACAAAAACAGGTGCCTAAAGTAGGTGGAACTTAATTTAGTGAAATTCACTATGTTCTACGATTTAATCAGTCACATATATGGGTAAAGTAGAACCCAAGTGGGATTTTCTCAAGAGAGAGAACTCAAAAAGACAAAAAAATCATCTATAAATTTTCAATATAATACTTCTGTGAAGTATAAAAGACTTTGAATATATTATAAAAGAACTAGACCAATCAAAATGAAAATTTCAAATCTATGAGGGTATTATTACACACTGGGGAAAAAAAACATGCAAAAGATATATTTGTTTTGATAAAATCTATTGCTGACGCTAAAGACGACTCCCTTCTCTCACAAAAGATTCAGGCATTTTTGTCCTTCTTGCAAAATGGATTGTGAAGCCTTCTCCTGGGCTACACTAAGAACACTTAGAATTCAATTTCAACTCTCAGGAAAAGTTTCTTTCACATATCCCAGAACTAGGAGAAACTTAGATATTATCTATTTCAGTACCGATCCTATTCTTCTCTACCCCCTACAATGCTGCACAAAAGTGGCTATGTGGTCTCTAATGAACGTGATCTGCATACTTCCTTACTGTTAACTGAAAAAGGACATGTTTACTCCTCAAAAAAATAAATACTATGATTCCCTCTTTATTGCTGCTACCCCTAAACAGTTACACATTTGTGGATATGATTAATCATATTTTCATTCATTATTTCTTCAGTTCTAAATCTATCAGATCAATCTGTATCATTTAGTTGCTGATAGTGTGTTGAGTCTTGTATTTGGCACAGTAAGATACACTTTTTTCAGGCTTTACCCCCTTTTCCTAACGACCTTCTCCTTGTTCCACAGAAACATAAACACCTTTTCTCATTCCTGTTCTACTGTTAACAAATTTCAGTGTACTTCCAATCTTTTCTTTACCAATTTCTCATCTTATCTAAAATCTGATTGTTCCTCTGGGCACTACTTCCCTTTCAAAATTCTGAAATCGAAATTGCCTATTTTCACAAGACCCCATATCTTGAAAAGGTTTAAAATGGTTTCTTTTTTCCCACTCTCCACTGCCCTTTTAGGCCTCTGCCATTTAGTTATCTCCTTAAACCCCACAGGCTGACAGAGAAAATGCCGGTCAAATCTCGTGAGTGAATTTAACCTGGGCCAGGAGATGACAACTCCAGAAATAATGCAAACTTGTTTTTTCTGGTTGTAATCCTCCAATCACACTCCAGCTGTCTTCAACATGAATTCCACCAGGTTCAATGAGAGGCTCATAAGCCCTATGGTATAACAATGTAACATGATCTTTCAATTAATTCTCCCAGCCAGCGAATCACAGTTTAATTAATATATATCTTTTATGACTGGAAGATAGGACCTCAAATTCTTGTTACTTGGGCAATTTTGAAAGAGGAACTTAGGCATGCTAAGCCTTAATGTCCTCAACAACAAAACAGGATGTCACAATCTACCTCATAAGTTGGTACGAAGTTATACACAGGAATGTATATAAAGTGTTTGGCCCCACCTCTTGCCTCCTATCCACCTTTTAAAAACATTTTAAAACAACTTTTTTGAAGCATAATTTACGTGCCATAAAATTCACTCAATATATAACTAGCAAAATTAATGATTTTTCTTTCTTTTTTTTTTTTTGCATATTTACAGAGCTGTGCAACCATCACCACAATCCTGTTTATAACACTCCCACCACCCCAAAAAGATCCCTCGTGCCTGTTAGCAGTCACTCCTCGCTCCCACCCATAGCCCTAGTCATCTGCTTTTGGTCTCTATAGATTTGCTTTTTCTGGACTTTTCATGTAAATGGAATCATACAATACATAGTCTTTTGCACCTCTAGCTTCTTTCATGTAGCATAAAGTTTTCAAGGTTCATCTACATTGTAGCACAAATCTGTACTTTATTATCTCTTATGGTTCAGTAACAACAGTCCATTGTATGGATATACCATATTTGGTTATTCATTCACCAGCTGATGGGCATTTGGCTTGCTTCTAACATTTTGGCTATTATGAATACTGCTGCTATGAACATTTGTGTTCAAATTTTTGTGTGGACATTTCTCTTGGGGAAATTGCTGAGTAGGATGGTAAAGTTACATTTAACTCTAAGAAACTGCCAGAGTGTTTTCCACAGTGGTTATACCATCTTACATTTCCATCAGGAATGCATCAGGGTTTCAATTTCCCTATATCCTCACCACACTTGTTATTTTTGGTCTTTTTGAATATAGTCATTATAGCAGGGGGAAGTGGTATACTGTTATAGGTTTAATTTGTATTTCCCTAATGAGTAATAATATTGAGCACCTTTTTATGTGCTTATTAACTATTCTTTGGTAAAATGTCTATTAAAATATTTTGTTCATTTGAGGAATAGGGTTGTCTTATTATTGAGTTGTAGGAGTTCTTTATATATTTTAGATACAAGTCTTTTATCAGATATATGATTTTCAAATGTTTTTCCCAGTCTATACCTTATCTTTTCACCTTCTTAGAGGTTATCTTCTGAAACTCAGGAGATTTTTGTTTATAATTTATTTTGTTGTTGAGAATATATACAGCAGAATATGCACCAATTCAACAGTTTCTACATCTACAATTACAGTGATATTGATTACATTCTTCTAGTTGTGCAACCATTCTCACTCTCCTTTTGAGGTGCTCCCCCATTAACATAAACTCACAACCCTCTAGTGTTCCTGTTTAACCTTTCGAGTTGCTGTTGTCAGTCTGATCCCATATAGATAGATCTTAAAAGAGCACAATACTCAAGGCAGACATTCTTTACTAGTTAAGCTAAACTATTATTTGGTTTTAAGAAGACTTCAGGAGATATTTTTGGTTTTAAGTTTAAAGATTATCTCAGGGCAATAATTTCAGGGGTTCATCCAGCCTCCATCGTTCCATAAATGGTAGATTTCATGAAAATCTGAAATTCTGTTCTGCATTTTCCCCCTTTTGATCAGGATTCTTCTGTAGAATCTTTGATCAAAATGTTCAGTAATGGTAGCTAGGCACCATTCACTTCTTCTAGTCTCAGGAAAGGAAGCAGTTATTCATGGAGACAATTAGCCACATATTCCATTTCTTTCTCCTATTACTGACTCTCCTTCTTCCTCTGTTGCTCCAGGTGAATAGAGACCAGTTGTTGTGCCTTGGATGGCCACTTGCAAGTTTTTAAGACCCCAGGCACTATGCAATGAACTAGGAGGTAGAAAAGAAGCACTAAACACATTATTGGGCCAGTTAACTTGGATGGCCCATGAATCCATGATCCTAAACCTCCAAACCAAGTAACCAAATCCCATGAGGTGTTTGGTTGTACACAAGCAGCCTCAGCAGCTACTCTTTTTTTTTTGGTCACTGTTGTAAATATATCTATCACACAGCTTTTGCCAATTCAACTTTTAACAGATGTACAACTTATTGACCGCAATTACATTAATCAGCTATGCAACCCTACACTTACTTAATCAATGAGATTTTTCCATCACCATAAGAAGATTTTACTTTTGTCGAAGCCCAATTTATCAATTTTTGTTCTTTTATGGATTGTGCTTTTGGTGCCGCTTCTATGAACTCTTTACCTAACCCAAGGTCATTTCCTACTATGTTTTTTTCCTGGTAGATTTATAGTTACAGCTTTTACATTTAGGTCTTTTAGGGTTAACTTTTG